TATTCACCACTTCTAACATTTTTATTATCTCCTCTTTAGCTCTAACTCTCTTAGACCTATCGTGTGTTACCAAAAATCCACCTTTCATTACAGGGTTTAGAAAGATAGCAAGGGAGATGGCCCTATGAACCGAAGAACAACCTTGGAAGAGAAGAGAAAAAGAATTTTGGAAAATTTAATGAATGAAATGGGATGTGTTTATTCTAAAGGATATAGAAAGATAGCTAACAAACCAAAGGAATACCTGTACAGAGTGTAAAGGATGTAATACAATCATTGGTGGATGATGATTTAATAATGCAAGATAAGATAGGAACTTCTAATTTCCTTTGGTCTGTAAACCAAAATGGTACTCAACAAATCAAAACAGTACGAAGGTTAGAACAGGAGAACTCTAAGATAGTCCTAGAATTGGAGAAGTTAAAGGAGGATTATAACAAGTTGTTAATTGGCAGGGAGGAGAGTGAACATAGAGAGAATTTGATTAAAAATTACAAAAAATTGCTGGGAGAGGAGGAGGAAGTTAAAAAGGAAATTGAAAAATTGAGTGAGTGTGACCCCGATGTTTTCCGGGAGATGAGTGAGGGGATAGTCACCTATAAAGAAAAGATTAACAGAGTAACTGATAACATCTTTACATTGCAGAGCTACGCTTTCAATAAATTTAACATTGAAAGAGGGGAGTTTAATAAAAATTTTGACATTGATGATGAAATGGACTACCTTTAAAGGTACTCAATAAGGGGATTTAAGGGTTCTCCCTTTGTACCCTTAGTGATAGAAACACTGCTCTTAGTTGAATCTTCAATGTACCCCTTAAATTCATTAAACAATTCAAACTCATCAAAACCCAATTTGTAACTCTCCTTATCCTTGTGATAGTCCATGGCAAATAAAATACCCTTTTTATTGTCAATTTTATACTTAGAGCACACCTCTCTAACCAGTTCTAAATTTCCACCAGAGTTCATGCATTCTATCTTCCACTCCTCATACTTATCATTAATATGAATCTTAATATGGGATATTCTCTTGCTCTTCTTAGATAGCTTAGCTATCTTCCCGTTTATACTCTAACTACCTTCCTTAAGTGGTTAAACCCCCTTAAATGATTATCTCCCATTTTATAAAATTTAGGGAATGTTACCTTACACTTAAAGTATCTCCTTATAAGGTACTTGCAAAGTGATGGTATTATTGGATATAATAATAGGGTTATACTCCTATAAAGAGTATAAAATATATTAAATGTAGTGCTACACCCTTTACCATTCTTTACATTAATAAAGGTATCTCTTAGATTTATCATTTCATAAAATCCGTACTTCACTACCTCTCTAAATAACATGGAATCATAAGACCTGTCACACATCTCTATATTCTATTAATACCCTCTAGGAGATATCTCTCCATGAAGGATAGATCACTACATCCTCCTAGACTAACCCTTTCCATCATTTCTAGTATTTCACTCTCCTCACCACTCTTAGATTCAAAGAACTCTTCTAAATGCTTTATGAAATTATAAACCCTAAGAATAAACGAATTGGCATTCTCTTCTAAAAAATTGGCATCATCATTAGAATCACCACTTATAGCTAGACACATCCTAGTAGCTGTTACACCGAACCTTTCAATTGCTTCATCTGCACTCAGAAAATTACCAGTAGATTTACTCATCTTCTCTGAGTTTAGCATTATATGCCCGTTAGTGTATATCCTTCTAGGCCACAATCTTTCTGGAAAGATAGCAACGTGGTTCATTATATAAAAAATGAGGTGATTTTTTATTAAATCCTTTCCTGATACTCTCAGATCCACCGGATAGAAGTATAAAAACGATTCCTTACACTCCTTCAAAATATTAACAAGGAATTCTAAATTCTTATTGATATTTCTACTAGTTATCTCTCTTTCTAATATCTCTCTCACCTCATCCTCCATTTCCTCACTTCCTAGAAGAATGTACTCCCAAACTATGTCACTTAGAAGCTCAGAGGGGAATATCTGGTCCTTCCCTTCAAAGTCCCTAAATAAGAGATGTTTAAAGGTATACAACACCATGTAAATGGTGGAATCACTCAATGAATCTATCAGATACTCCCTATCCCATGGTAACTTGGTTCCTAACCCAAACGATCTGGAACACGCCCATTTATTTATCCATTCAATTCCACTGTTTATCAGTTCTTTCGTATCTCCAAAAACTCCATCTTCTCAATACACCTCTTAGCTTTCTCCTTCCACTTTCCTATTCCATAGTCAATAAACCACTGGTCTATCAAAGATACAACACATTCTCCCCCAGATCTACTCACTACCACTCCTTCAGGTTCAAAATACCTTAAAAGGTTATCACTTAGATTTAAGGAATGATCCTTCTTATTATCTATTTCTAAATCCAACAATTCTCTCTCCTTTACCAATTTTTCATAAATCATAGATCCATCCCTAGATCCACCATCCTTTAGCTCTTTAATTAAACAGGTATCATTAATACCAGACACACCCTCTACTATCACATTTTCTCCCAATATCTCTCCAACTTTACCTATCAAAAGATTAGTTGATACACTTCCTATCTTTGTTATATCCCTAGTTTGATATTTCAAATTATTAAACACCCTTTCAGAGACACCTAAAGCTCTACCATTCCCATCTTTCCCTTTATATTCAATTATTATAAAATAACTATTCTCTTTTAGCAATATTCTTTTATTATTCACTTCTTTCACTTCTTTATCAACCTTACCGTAAAATTGAATCTTTCTCTCTCCATTTCCACCTGAACTAAAAAAATCCCTTGAATTACACTTCCTCTCGAGATCTTCCACTTCTTCCCTATTAAAAGACAATGTAAACCTTAAAAGATCTAGATGAATTGGTAATACACCCTCTCCCTTACTTCTATCATGATCTAGACAAGCTTGCTTGGATATTGGACAGAAAATGGAATATCTCTTACCAAAGGAAATATACCCTAACCCTTTAAGCTTATTGAACTGCCATACAATAAATGAATCATAGTATGGGTTTATCTCAGTAGTAATGAATGATCTTCTCCAATCTACCATAGAATGGAAGTTTCTCAGAGATTCTCTACACATCCTTGGGAATATTTCAATCCAATGGTGAGGATCGGTAAATAACGGTATTTGATCCTTAGGGAACCCCATTTGCTCCAAGATTTTAGATTGAGAAGAGAGAAGGTTCTGTTGAGAAGGGTCTTCTAACTCTTTTTTAAGTCTCAAAGCAGATGCTGATATTGGCATTCCTGTGCAATGAAAAGCTAAGGGAAATAGAACATTAAACCCCTTTAATTTCTTGTATCGACCGTAAAACTCAGTTTTAGATAATGAAAATACATGTCCTAAATGCAATTTCCCGTTCATATAGCAATAAGGAAACGTTATGAAATATTTCTCCTTATTTCTATCTAGCTCCGTTCTATTCTCTTCAAATATCTCCAATGAACTCAAATACTCCAATTTTTGGTTATTTCCCATTTCAGGGGTTAGAGTGGGAATCTCAAATTTGAAAGATTCTCAATGTAAAGTGAAAAAGTACTTAAAACATCGCTTTATTTGTTTTTAATACTCATTCAAAGTATGTTCCTTATGACACTCAACTCGATGATCCAGAACCACTTATACCACCAGCCCCACCAAGTGGTGATTCAGAGCCACTCATGCTACTAGATCCACCAGAAGGGCATGGTGGCTGTCCAGGACCTCCACATGGTCCTCCTTCACTACTTCCTCCCTTCTTACTACCTTTCCCCTTCTTAGATGATGAGCAGTACAATAGAGTGACAAGACAAGTTAAAATATATCCAACTTTCATTTTATGAAATCTGAAAACTTTCACTTTTTAATACTTTTCCTCTCCTTAATCAAAACCAATCTTTCATAACACCCACACCGATGATTCCTCACTCGAATTTAAAAAGGAGTGTAGTGGTACCATTAAACATCCCTTTAGTAGAGTGATGTAATAAATCACCAATTAATACAACCCCTTACTTTCCTATCAAAGTCCATCCAAAAGATACCTCAACCAATAGCTTCATTTCTTTTCTTTATTAAATCCCATAATCTCTGTGATCTTTTTCCATATCATTTTACTCTTCTTCTTATTGAATCTCTCTGTAAAGCTTTGTATTAACTCATTTGAAATGTTCTCCCAATATCTAAGAGCTACTCCTATCTCACTTCTTATATCCTCAATCTCAGATTGTAAATCAACCTTTTTAACTATCTGGTTAACCTTTTGAGTCACCTTAATTTTATTTTCTAATAAAAATGAAATGTTCAAATCCTTGGCACTCACCCCTCTCTCTAGATTTCTCCTAACATAGCTGTCATAATCCTTGACTATCCTTGTGATAATACCAGAGGTACTAATACCCTTGGTACGCTTTGTTGGTATAAAAATGTTCATCTCTTTTATTAATTTATATACATCCTCTGTATTACCACTCTTGTAGGGTATATCATCATGTGCTACATAGTCTATCTTATATCTCTCTATAAACTCCTTTGTTATTACCCAAGGTGCATCTTCTATCACTTCATCTACATATTTACAGTGCTTTAAAGATTCAATTCTCTCCCCTTCGCTCAACACTGTCTTACCTTTGAGTTTGTGGGTTACATTATCTGAAGGTACCCCTACCATTAAATGAACGCTAGAAAAGAGATTCTTAGCCTGTTGTAGGGATCTGGCATGACCGTAATGAAACAAATCGTAGATACCATCACAGTAAATCCTTACCTTTCTGTTTTTAGGTATTTTGTAGATCTCCTTTTCAGTTCTACTCCTCTCAAAATCAAAGACACCACTCTTTGGATAGAAAGGTTCCACGCAAATGAACTCCTCATCCTTACTTAAGTTTCCACTCCCTTTAATATTTACAGTCTTACTAGAGGGTAGAGAAACATTGATAAAGTAAAATATCGACTCTTTCCCACTTTGGGTAGTACTTTCTTCCACTCTCTTTCTTCTCTTCATAAGGGTCTCTCCCTTTCTATGAAAACTTTACCTTTTTACAAAGGGGTCCTTCACCAGAAGGTAAACCCTAAACCTTACACCATTTCATTAAAAATTTTATTTATCTTCCTTTACATTTAGAGGATCCTTAACAACAAAAATAACATTATCCCCTCGTATAAACATTTTACCTATCCTTCTTTCGCACATCTTTCCTTCTCTCTTCCTTTTTCCTCGATTTTTATTTCTCTCTTTATAAACCTCAAGAACATCTTCTACCACCAAATTAAAATGCTTATCAAAGGATTTGATAGTACAAAACACCTTTTTGTTATTCCTAAGGCTTATTAGGACTTGTGTTTTATTCTTCATTGAATGATATAGCAGTGAAAGTGGTCCTTTACTTATTTGTGTGTGAGTATTTCCCTCTATTTCTAGAGATGTCATATCTTGTTTTAATTTCTTGGAAAAGATCATAGTATGGGTTAATGGTATAGGACTTGTTATCAGGAGGGTAAAAAGAGGATCCTTTACTGTAAACGCCTTTTTTAGTTTTGAAAAAAAAACTTGGTTTTACGGAGATTCGAACTCCGGTCTCCAGATTCAGAGTCTAGTGTGCTCACCACTACACCATAAAACCCCAAATCGGAGGATATTAGGATAAATTAAATAAAACATTAAGAAAGTAAAGTGCTAACCACACCACACGTGGTATTCAGTTAACTTAAGAACCCCTCCGTGATTCATCTTTAACAATCACACCACAGTTTAAGATGTTTTAATTGCAGGAGAGGATTAAACCCAAATCTAAGATATCTCTCCGTAAATAAAGGTATTTCGTTATTTTAAGGTGTTGTGGATCTTAAAAAACCCAGGAATGGGAGTGGCGAGTATAAAAATTAAAAAGAGGGGGAAGGGTTCAAAGTAAGACAAATGGGAGGTATGAGAAGAGAAGTAAAATTTTCCATTGAAAGAATGATCAAAAGGTTGGAGCAATACAAAAATGAGAAAATATTGGAAATGGTAAAGCAGAAGCATGCATATTCTAATTATATCTACCTGATAAAATATAAAAATGAAAATGTGATTTATAAAGAGTATCCTAACTTTTCAGAAATGATAGGGAAGGATCATTCTATCGAGGTCCAGAGAAAGATTGGATTTCCTAAGATACTTTGGTATGAAGAGAATTACGTGATAGAAAGATACATTGATTTTGAGGAGGTAAATTGGGAAAGGGATATGAAGGAAATAGCTTTAGAGCTGAAAAGGTTTCATTCTCAGAAGTGTAAGTTGGAGTATTCAGTGTTGTTGGAGTACACACTCCAATCTGAGATGGGAGATATGAGGAATAGGGTAAGTGAGGGGAGAGAAAATAGAGAGTCTATGAAAAGGTGTAATACGCTAACAAAGGTACTTGAGAGAATTAAAAATGAAATTTTCGAGGTCATTAAAGGTGAAAAATTGAGTTTGTGCCACAATGACCTGCAATTAGGGAACATGATGAAGATTAAAGGTGGGATAAAGTTTATCGACTTTGAGTACACTACAATGGGGAATGCCTATGCTGATATAGCAAATCTTTTCTGTGAGAAGATGTGTGACTATGAAGAGGATAGTGTACTAAAGGTGGAGAGAGGGTGGAGTGTAGAGAAGAAAAAGGAATTTCTAAGAATTTATGAAGGAAAGGAGGATGTTGAGGTGGAATATGAGAAGGTGTGTAAAAGGGAGGTTATTCCCCACTTTTTTTGGTACATTTGGGGGAAAAGCAAGGTCTTGAATGGAAATACACCCTCTAAGACCTTTAATTATAAGGACTTTACCTTTTGCAGGTTAAAATATTTGAGGGATGGTGGTATGATCAGTGAAGCTGAGCATGAAATGATGAGGATTGAGATAGAAGAGGGTATGTAAGAGAGGAGTGAGGATTTAATAAAATTTACCGTTCTTTTATTTTCTTTCATCTTTTGTACCCTTTGGATGGAATTTGATCTTTACTTCCTGGCGGTGAAGGAGGAACTTAGAGTGGAGAGAAATGAAATTTTAAGTAGAGGTTACAATCAGATAAAAGAAATAAAATTGGAGATAATGAAATGTGAGAATGTGAGAAAGGGTATAGATATGGTGTATGTCTTACCAAAGCCAATTATAACGTTACCAAGGAGTAAGTCAATTCCAATAAGAGAGAGAACAAAATGGGAAAGGTTTGCAGAGAGTAAAGGAATTAAGAAGAAGAGGGGATTTAAAGTTTATGATGAGGAGATGGGAAGATATGTTCATAGATATGGATCTAAGAGTAAAAAGAATTTGGAAAAGAACATTGGAATATCCGAGATTAAATAATGGAAGAAATGTAGGACTCGATTAATTCTATAATTAAAGGTTATATTTAATTATTGTACTCTTTTTCTATTGGTGTGGGGTTAGGGTTATATAAGTGACTCTTCATGAACTACTTCATTAAATTACGCCTTAAAGAAGGTTATTTCCTTTGTGGAGGTTTCCTTCTGCTCTGAATACAAAGATGGTGACTTTATTTCTTATGGGTTGAGTTTTATCAGGGAGATGCTTTCTAGGTACTTTGAGTGTGGAAAGGATGGTACTAACTCTCCTAAGATGGATATAAAAAATATAAATAAATTGATAACCTCAATGGTAGATGGTTTAGAGATATTCAAGAAGAGTAAAGATACAAAGATAAGAAATGAGTTCTATTTAATAAAGAAATTGGTAAAGAGTAAGGTAAGAGACATGAGAGGGGTTGAATGCTAAGAATTTAGAAATGGAATTATTAAATACACTTCTCTACTTCATCTATCTACCCTTTTGTATTGAAAGTCTGAAAAATACCTTATTTGTAAAACCAATTTATTACTTTGTACATTTTTATTTGCATAAATTCTTTGTGGTCCTTCTCTTCCCACCACGAAATGGAAATGTTCCTGAGAAAGATGCTAGAATTGTTATTTATTGGAATGGTAGTAGAAATGGGTAGAATAAAATGTACAAAAACAGAGAATGGAGAGATGGGGAACACGAATAAAAGAAAGTTGGAATGTGATAATAACAATGGGAATTTTAAAAAACGGTTAATTGTCCGTTATGAAAATTCGAATCTTACCTCATCAAATCAAAGGTTACCTAACCCAGCGATCATTCTAACCGATCTTTATGGCCGTGGGGGTAGAAAAGATATACCATCTACCACTCATATCTCGGGAGAAGAGGGTGTAGAATGTATAAATGTACAAAATCCCGTACAAAACCCAGAAATTTCCTCATTAGGGTTGGTAAAAGGGGAGATAACAAGGTGGTTTGCTTCCTACAAAAATTCCAATTCTATAGAAGCACTGATGGAATTGATAAAGAGGAGATGTAACAATTTCTATGAGCTAAACTATGAGGAGATATTAAAAATCTTTGAGTTTGTAAGAAGTGAAGAGAAGAAGCACATCAACTTTATTTTTACCAAAGAGATAGTTGATACAATAAATGACATTATGGGGATGGTAATCAAAAAAACACTACAATGCTCAATGCTGTTGTATTTCAGGGAAATGATAAGATTTCCAGCATTTCTAGGAGAGAACTACAAAGTTGGGCTGGTAGAGTACCACTACACCAATCTCTTTGTTTTCTATTACTTACTTTCCAGAATGAAGGAGCACGATGATGAGTTGAGGTATAGAGATAGAAGTAGAAGGTTGAACCCAGATAAAACATATTCTTACAATGCTAGACACACCTCTACATTTGATAAAGACTTCCCCATATTCTATCTTTGTATCAGAGAGTTTCTCAGCTCCTTCAAAGATAAGACTTTCTATAACTTCTTCATTTACTGTCATGAGACTAAGAAAGAGAATGGGAACTATAAAATCAGGGATGGTATCTATTTAAATGGTAACTTCAGGATACACTGTAGGCAAGGTGTTTATAAAAGTTTTCTTTCAATTATCACCTTCACCCTCTATAGAACAAGTCTTGAAAAGATTTATAAAAGTCGTGAAAAGTTCACATTATATAGTTCTGAGAAAGGTACGATAAGTAAAAATACAATAGCTATTTATGAGATAGTGAAGGGATATGGAATATTCGATGCTTACTACCGTTTATTATGCGAGGAACTCAATGATGAAATAATTAAGAATAAATCATATACAAAAACACAAAAATCCTTTAATGAGATTAAGGAGCTCTTACCAAACATTAAGAAACCATTTGATTATTGTGAAGATCTGGAGATACTTAGTAGAATATTGTGTGGTCTTGCTACGATCACTTCTAAATTTTTTGAAGCAAAGTTATTTCACAAATACATTGGTTCTCAAGCGACCTATTTTGGTGAATTAAGTGGTATTATCGCAAGATTAATAGAAGCAATCAATGATGCTATTATATCCGTTCGAAGTAAAAGATTAGCGAATAGCTAAAATAAAGTGATTTTTCATGTCTATTCTTTAGACCTACTCTTTACCAGGCCAAGTCTACCAACTCACAACTCTCATTCCCACATAAATATAAGACAATGCATAATACAGTTAAAAGAAGAGAAGTGTCGTATTGGTATAGAAATGGAAAATGGTGCTATATAACACCAGATTGATATATTACTAATCTATCACACCCAATACAACCTTTAACTAACCCATAACACAACTACAAACATCCCTAAGTTCCTCCTCTATCCCTACTTCCTTTGCTATCCTAAGAATGTCCCCAAATAAACTCTCAAAATGAGTTGTTTGATCAACACTCTTGGAAATGAAGACATTCTCATACCCCTCACTGGGTACTTTAACTTCTCTAACCTCTAAAAACTTTCTCTTGACATTCCCCAACTTTCGTACAATGTCTTCTATCTCCCTCCCAGGATTCTCTGTTTCTTTAACCGTACTTATTATACCTACCATATACCCATCGGGTGTGGAACACTCTTCTGGTCCCAAAATTGCTAGGAAAATGTCGTTCTTTCTTTTAAACTCACTAGAGAGAAAAATAACTTGTGAGGAGACATTCTCTTCCAGAATCTCTACCTTCCCCTTGATAATGCAAATACACCTTATCACCTCACAGGTAGTTTCTACTCTATCCTCAAAATACCCAGGTTCACCTATGAGGTACTTTCCAGCGACTATTTCACGTCTTTTATTACAGGTGTTGAATATCTCTATCTCAAATATATCATCTTTCCTTTCTATTCTCCTTATTGGTGTATTTAGCATGTAGACAGTACCATTTAGAGATGCCTTTCTAGAAAACGCCTGGCATATCTCAGATAGACCATATAAAGGGTATATGTAAGGGGAGTTGATACACTCTTTGAAAGATAGCAAGGATCTAACATACAAAAAGATTTTGTCGAAGGTGATCTTAGGATCGAGCTTTAAGTAGCTATCATCTAAATTGAGTGCTATGGCGTGACCAACAAACTCTATACTCTCTCCATTCAACCCATAACTAGAAAACTCCTCTTCCATTGTCCTTTTAAAGGCATACATGCTCTCTTTGTTTTTTATCTTCAACTCCGAGTACTTTCTTACATCCCAAAAAAATTTCATCATTTTTGGCTTTTGCCACATTCCCACAACATTAGACATCATAGCCTTCTTTTCATCTGTCGGTATGGTCCTCAATTTACCATGCTTAAAGATGAAAGACCCTTTAATTGGTGTGAAAGATACTAAGTCTGATAGACCATACTTGCACAGGAACCTTTTCATTAGTCCATCTGCCAGTAAAAACTTTGGTGTCAGATCTAGCGAAAACTTTCTGTCCAAGGCTAGTAGCTCTGGATCTATCTTTCCTCCAAGAGAGTTCTCCAATTCCGTGTATCTCAAAGTTCTAAGCTCTGATCCATAGGAACTGTTCTTATCTATTTGTATTATTTTCTTACCTCTATCTGACAGCAACTTAGCCATGACACACTCTACTAAACCAGTACCCAGGATTACATAGTCATACTTATTATTCTCTATATTTTCATGCTCTCTTTCCCTATTTGTCTTGTCCCTGTTTTCACTCTCTGTCTCCCCATTTTCTTCCATTTTCTATCCAAACAAGGCCTGATTTTGATGTTTTTGTTTTGCCTTGCATTTGTGAAGGTTTAGTTCACTAGTAGGAAGGTGATAGTAAAAGGTATCTCAATATTATGAATAATACATTTAAAAATGATCAAAGGCGTATTAACCACCTTGTAAATACGATCTGTGAATGAAAACAAAACACGAAAATTAAAAATGCATTAACAAGGGGAGAAATGAAGAGCGAAGAGGAGAGTGTATACAGAGAGATAGAACAAAAGAGAAAGGGGAATAGAAGGAATAAAGAAATTTTGGATATTTGGAGCACAAGAGGTGTATCTCTAAATGATTGGAAACGGTTACCGGAACCTTTAAATATTAAAAAGATGAGGAGAGATAGAGAGGAAGTGAAGGGCGTACCATATCTTGTGGAAGACCCACTCCAAGAAATAAAACTCGATCCCTTCAATTCCGAGAAAAGGGTAAAAGCATCCAAATACTTAGATAGAAGTGAATATGAAAGGATACTCTTAGAAGGGATCAAAATTAGAAGAGAAGATCCGCTTCTATGGAATGAGCTACTTCAAGAATTCTACTGTTTAGAATATGCCATGGAGTTTCTAGAAAATGTGAAAATGGGACATGAAGATACCTATATTAAGATATACCAAGAAGAGAGGGATGTAAAATACATAAGAATGGGATTAGAATACCACCCAAGAAGTTATAAATTGCACAGAATACTTGTTGAATCGAATATCAACAATGAAGTATCACTTGACTCTCTCAACACCATTTTTAGAAGTACTAAGCAGCTAAAAAATCATTTCTTCCTCCATCACCTCCCAAAGTTTTCTAAGCACCACTTTCAAATCTTCAAATTCTACTTAGAACTTAAAGAATCCCAAATCTTCTTCAACCCTCTTTTTGTGTTTCTCTTTAGGTTTGAATGTTATAGGAAGATTCTACTCTTTGACCTGTTTCATTCCCTCAAAGACCTTAGCACATTCTGTGATGCATTTAATGTTTTGAGGGAGGTAGATGAGAGCTTCAGTAACGAGGTAAGTATGGAATGTGTCAACAACATAGATGCTATTAATACTTACACACAAGGTATTGAAGGTGTGGATAAAGATACAATAAGGAGTAAAATTGCAAATCTAAATGTTAAGATAGAGAATGATACTTTAATACACTATGGAGATATAAAAATTGAAAGCAAAGAAGAGGCTGTAATTGAATATTTGGACTATTTATCTAAAAATTGGATGGTAAATACCAAAGACAAGATAAAAGGTAGTACAATACCACCAAGGTTTAACACCCTTTTTAGATCTCTACCACTAGGAACGTTTTATAGTGATAAGATCTTCTTAAGGTCTTATGAGATATTAAAGCACTGTAAATTGGAGATAGAATTTGTAGATATCTTTTTAATAGGAGCAGTGTTCTAAGGGAGTATTACACCACATTGTTAAAGAGTAAGGAATATTTTAAGATATGTCGAATTAATTTTATAGAACATAGAGATTTATCTCTACTGAGAAAGGTCGATAAAATGTTAGAAAAAGGAAGTAGAAAATATAAAAATGTTGGAGATATCTTTAAAGAAGCACGTTTCAAGGTGTATTTTAATATAAACGATTTTTACACCTCATATTCCATTATTTCTGGTAAAAAGGATTCTTATTACTGGTTCAGTGCGTTATCTAAGATAGATCCAAAGAAATGTAGGAATGAGTTGGAGGCTTTTTTGTTTGGAAAAGAGGGTAGAAAGTTAGAGGATGGATTTAAGTTCCACAAATTCTATTTCTTGTATTTTGAACTTCTCGTTCTTTTGGATGTTAAAAGATTGTTTGTATTGGAATGGTTGGATTTTGATGATTGTAGAGAGGGAAGAGAATATACTAAAGATAGTGTGGTTAAAAATGGTAATGAAGTGAAGGTTTATTTACATTATTTAAGATATCTAAGAAAGTTCTATAAAGATAAAGTAGAGGATAGGTGTATTGTGGAGATAGAAAGGGTATGTGAGAGATATCGTGATAATGAATTGATAAAGTACGAGAGATATTGTTATTATAGAGTGAATAACATAAAGCGTAATGAGGAAGACAACATAATTGGTTGTAGTTCTCTCTATGGTGAGTTTAGAAGAGTAGTCAATGAAAGTGGATTGATAGACAAGGAGGGAATGATAAAGGTACTAGAGGAGAGGATTGGTGAATGTGGTGATTATTTTATATTGTTGTATTATTTGTATGGTGATAATTATGGAAGAGTTGTGGAGTTAGAGAAGATGAGTGTCTACTGTGAGGATATAAAGGGTATATATTGGGAGAGAGTTATTGAGAGCATACAGTTTAATACATTTGAAGAGAAAATGAGTTATGGGATAGAATTGTTAAAGAGTGATGGTGTTATAGAGTGAATGATACACTCATACTTACTGTGTGTATACAGTGGAAATAAAACGCGTTTAGAGGTTAAATAATCGAAGAATCGATTTATTACCCTTTAATATGCTATGGATCTATTAGTGTTATTTAATTATAGTCAAACTTTTGCTACTGGTCTCGGTTTGGAAGGATGCTAATTTATAAGGGTACTCCATAAGGGATGTAGTTAACAAAACCATAAATTTGATGAATGTAGAAATGAATAGGTTATTATAATGTAGGATTAGGGTCTCTATGTTTTATTTTAGACGATCTATTGGGTATTGTGCGATTGATGATGAACCTTTCAATAGGAAAGGTGTTAGCTTTATTTTATTTTGGAATGGTGTTGGATATGAAAGGGGTGAGGTGTATTAGAAAGAAGAACATACCTGTAAAGATTGAAAGGAAAGAGAGCGAATGTACGAACAGTACGGGGAATGTAGAGGAGTACGGTAGAACCAATAAAAACCCTCCAAGTTATGAGTCAGAAACGGTGTGGAATATATCTAGAACAGATATAAAGGTGAGTTCATGGTCAATTTGTAATAGAAATATCTTGAGTGGTGGTGATGTACATGAGCTTTGTGAAGCTGTTAATTGTCCTTCAAACAACACTCCTTCATTATGCGAAGAGGAGATGAGTAGAATGCAAGTACATCCACCCGTTAACAGAGATGTCTCTCTACAAATTTACTTTAAGAATGTAAACTTAGGGGGTCTACCAACCACTAGCTATGGCTTAGAAGAGGAGAGTGATTCATTAGAACGAATAAAAAGTGAAATAAAAACGTGGCTCTCGCTTGATGAGTCAACATTACAGATGTTGATGAGTAGCATCAATAAGAGGGACAAGAGATTTTACAAGCTAAACTATGAGGAGATATTAAAAATCTTTGAGTTTGTAAGAAGTGAAGAGAAGAAGCACATCAACTTTATTTTTACCAAAGGGATGGTTGATACAATAAATGGCACTATGGGGATGGTAATCAAAAAAACACTAAAATACTCAATGCTGTTGTATTTCAGGGAAATGATAAGATTTCCAGCATTTCTAGGAGAGAACTACAAAGTTGGGCTGGTAGAGTACCACTACACCAATCTCTTTGTTTTCTACTACTTACTTTCCAGAATGAAGGAGCACGACAATGAGTTGAGGTATAGAGATAAAAAGATTAATGGAGAGAGGAGTAATTACAATGCTAGACATACCTCTACGTTTGATAAAGACTTCCCCATATTCTATCTTTGTATCAGAGAGTTTCTCAGATCCTTCAAAGATAAGACTTTCTATAACTTCTTTATTTACTGTTATGAGACTAAGAAAGGGAGTGGGAACTATAAAATCGGGGATGGTATCTATTTAGATGGTGATTTTCGGTTAAGTAATGGGAAGAAGATCTCTAAAAAGATCTTTACCTTCATTATCTTCACTCTTGATAAGAGTACCCTAAAGGCAATGCAAGGTAACCTCAGAAACATTGTATCATGCCTTGGTAATGCAAAACGTACCTCCAAGGGAGTGAATTTGAGCGAAATCTTTGGTGTTTACCTCTCACTGTGTTCAGAGCTTGTAAGGATAGGTACCTCCCACACTGAAAAACAAAGGAAATATCTAAGTGAGGTTACAATGGTACTACCCAAAATTGAAGAGCAATTTAATGCTTTTAAAGACTGTAGAAAGTCGGGTAGTATCTTTCTTGATCTTGCTTCAATACTCCAGAGGGTCTTTTACATAAAAATACTGCATGGTGGATATGTAGGAGTGGGTACTACTAGTCTAAGCAAGGTAAGAAGTGTGGTATCACGGTATACCAATGATTGATCGTACAGGGGATACGTTCTTATCTCTCTTGCTCAGTGATGTGATTATAATTAAACCGTGTTATCGTGACAGTACTGAGACTATCTCACCACTCTCAATCTTTGGATCTTCTTTTGGAAACTACCTCTCTGCAGAGTAAGAATAGAAGAAGTGTGACAAATAACACACCAACCACAACAATTACTTTATTTCTTGTTCTTAATGACTGAGGCTCGGAAAAGCAAGCTTGTACCATTGAACCAAAGACTAGGATCTCACCTGTAAGTACCTTGTCCATGACCTTTACCATTTCATAGAAATCTAAGCTGTGGTACTCTTCTCCATCCAATCTCACAATAGCAACAGATCTTTTCACCTCCGTATCTCTAGATGTAACTAACCCACTCACACCATCCCTCATAACCATTCCTACCCTTTCGTTTCTTTTCTCTGTATCTACAACTTGATCGTTAAAATACACCCTTTCAACAGGGCTCTTCTTGGAATCACACAGTACAAAGCTTAGAAGTGAATCTTCAGACACCAAGTGAAAACTCGTTACACCCCCAGATCTTAGATAAAACACTGCAACATATACAAATGTGGTAGATCTTTGACTTCTCTGTGCTGAGATGATCTGTCTCCTTATGATATCCACCGTGTTTTCATTTAACTCTAGGACGTCGTTATCATCGTCCTCTTGGATTAGATCCTGGTTCCTACGTAGAGAAACCTTTAGTGGTAATGGATCTCTCATTGCTAGCAGTAAATTTAATTTAATGGCTCTGATCCCTTTCCCTTTCTTTTAATTCTCCTTTACCCACTAAACCAACCAAAAGTGAAATACCACATCCTCAGAGAACAGTAAAGCAAGGCTCATCCTTCTTCTTGGTACACTACTTCTTGTTAAAATGTAAATACTTCTCCCAAAAGCACTTCCCGTTCTCTACATCTTCATTGATCTTCTTACCCACATCCTTCAAGACAATATCAAGAATTCTCTTACTAGCCCTTTTTATTGCTTCAACAACCCTTTCTCTTTCCATGTACTTCGCTCTTAGCTTCACTTCATAGATCTTCTTGAGATACATAAAAGAGACAAATCTACTCAACATAGCATCCACTTCTTTATCAACCACATCATGTTTCTTCATGTGTTTGTTCAGTGCATCAGATCTGGTGTAAGCTTTCTCACATCTCACACACTTATAGGGCCTATAGCCCGTGTGTTTTCTTACATATGCTTGTAAAGAGTACTTTGAGACCTGCTTTTCACCATACCTGGAACAACTCTCCCATAGACACATAAAATCATCTTTCATTTGCTCTATGTGGTTATTCACGTGTCTTGTTATGTTCTCTACATCCTCTTCCGTACAACCTTTCCATTCACAATCCATGGTAAGGGAAGGGGGTAGCAGAAAGGTAGTGAAGTGAACATCTTGACATAGAAGAGTTAGGAGTATAGAAATTATAATTTCTTGGAAACGGTACTCTCGATGGGTCTGGAAGGTTGTGATAAGAAAGGGAGTATTATACTTGAGTAGAAATTTAATTAGAAGAATGAGTAACAGACCCCTCTTGTAAAGAGACATGCGACCGGGTGAACAAAACAGGACCATCAAAACACGCTTTAACATTCATCCATACATAGTGTCTCTCAACTGTCTCATTGCTGTATTCCTGTTGTAGCTCTGGATTTACAACAAAGCAACTTTCTGGTATACACACTCCTTTGTACATCCACACTATCTCCAGACACACAACAATTTCAATGACTTGTTCATATTTCAATAAATTATTCTATTATTTTCACCAATGTTAAGCTTCTCTTCCACCCTAAAGGTCTTGATGTTCACTCCTCGGACACATTGACAAGGGAGAGTAGAAAATTTGCAAAAAAATAAAAATTTTAAATGCCAAAACTAATTTATCATTTTATGTACATTCATCCCTGAAGGACACTGGAAGGGTGTCGTAGTGCCCAGCCCACTGTCACAGGTGGGGCACGATGAGTGTGCACGAAAGATTTTCCCTCTCCCGGTGGAAAAAAAAAATGTACATTCATCTTTTATGGTATTATTTGAGCTAAAAAGTATTCCATAAATAAAAAAAGTATAAAAAAAGAGAAGAAAGCAATTTATCATTTATACAATATGCATCTTTTATGGTATTATTGTTGAATTTATTCAATCCTTTATGGTATAGTTACGAACTAAAAATTATTCCATAAATAAAAAAAAAGTATAAAAGAAGAGAAAAAAAGATACCCATAGATGTTATGGGTGTTTCAACTGTTATCACAATTCTTTCATGGAAGTAAAAAAGAAACAATTGAAATTAGCTTTGAAAATGGGGAAACACATTCTTACAATCTCAGCGATGTTGGTATATTTAACTTTATCCCTATGCAAGATCGTTCTGAGGAATCATCCAGTAATATAAAAATAGATATTACAAAAGAGCTGTTTGACAAGATTATATCGCTAAACAAACAAGAAGCAAGTTTTGATGGATGTGTAAAGGATAGGATCATAGTTGATCTGTTATTCGAAATTGAAGCATACAAATTGACTAGTTACACTAGTAAAACGAAGAATCTATATCAAAGCTTGTTACTTTCTGTGATATGGTCAAAAGAAAAAAATAGTAAGATTTATGCAAGAGTAATTGATAGTAAGACGATTACTCAGAGTATGATGAAAGTACTTTTTAGAGTCTTTCTAGATATGATTGATGCAGGGTTTAGAAAGAATAGATTGGAGATCAAAAAGGGTAACAAAAAAGATGAGGTGGTGGATATAAAAGAAATTGAGGTGGTGGACATAAAAGAAATTGTTTTTGAACCACATGCCATAACTCGTCTCAGGAGTTTAACGGATGGCTCCTTTAGCCCCTTTAGGGTGCTTGAAATCTTCTATGACTTGGGCTATGTTAACTCACTTGAAGTGAGGAGAATTGAACTATCAAAGGAAGAGTTACAATGTGTTGCCAACTTTGAGTTGGCCAGACTGAAGTTTGTTGCATGTTCTAACCTAGATGTAATACTGCAGAGTAAAGCATTGAAACAAAGCTTGAAAGTGTTAGATGTTGTGGTTAAAAATATAACAAGAGGTGATTTCAAGCAACTCTCCGAGTTTTCGTTGAGTGAACTTTACATTGATAGAATTGATAGCATTAGGGGTAGTTATTCTAGTGTAGATATAGACTATAAGTTTGTACACGAAGGGTGTACGTTACAAAAACATCTACAAGTGTTAAACATATCAGGATTCAACTTTGAAAATGCTAGGAGTATAGAGATATTGAAGGAACAATATTCCTTGACAAGTCTTGTGTTGAGATGTGACTCTCCACTTATTTTAAATGAATCACCAAATACTAGTAGCTTTTTGAAAAATTTTGAAGAACTGGGCATAGTGTCACGTGATTCACCATTTATTGTTGAGGATCAACTGAATATACTGTTGGACAATCCACCAAAGGAGCTAAAAAGATTGGGTATTATCTTATGGCATTTCGAGGAAAGGATATCCCAAGGTGAATCATCACTTTTAACACCACTATCAAAGTTATCAAGGCTTAATTTAGATGAGCTTATTCTTGGAAGTGTCAATGATGCTAGAATAAACAGCATCTTTGTTAAGAACAGTAACATTACCAAATCTCTTAAATCTCTTACTTTAGGATTTGACTATGATTATTTTCCCACTTCTGATGATCTAGAGACTATTACTAACAACGAAATCCTTAGAGAGTTATCGATAACTTGTAGTAGATTGGGAAGGTTTGATTTAGAAGCAAAAGAGCTATTTAAACGTTTGTCACAGTTGTCTAAGTTTCATTTGGACTGTGATATGAGAGATTGTGAGAATACCATTAGTGAGTGTGAGAAACTGGGAAAGCTTTCATTAACTTCGTTACGTTTTAACTCTGGAGGCTCCCAGAAAGATCTTTTATTCAATCTCTTAAGCTACAAGGATGAAGGTAAGTATAAACAAACAGAGTTATCCAAGCGCTTAACTCATTTAAACGTTAATTGTATTGAATTAACACGAAATGATCTTAAAGCGTTACTACAATGCAAAAAATTGAAAGAAGTGTATCTAAGAAATTATTCTATAGCATCTATGGATCATGGGATAGATCTTAATAACATTAAGCTGGATTTGTTATATCTTGAGGATGATCACTGTCTAAATATTTCTAATGTTGCTAAGCTGTTTGGTGGAGATATTGGAAAGGTTATCATGGAGTCTTCTAAATTATCTTTTGGTGAGATTTCAAAGATTATGAAAAGTCTGCCAAAGGTTAGAAATTTTGAGCTAATACCATCACATTATGAGAATCCTAATGAAAACTCAATTTGTATTGATGAAAAGGAGATTCAAGTTGAAACAGGTCAAGTTCTTTCTTGTAGTATTTATCGTTCTCCCTACAAGATCACTGAGTTTTGCAAAAGAGTGTTTAAGGCTTTTAAATCAAAGAGATACTAATGATATTAAATAAACTGGCAGTTTATTATTATGTGTTTTACATTGTCAGTTTTGTAGAAACTAAGGAGAAGCGCTAGACATTGCATCTTGCATATCTCTGACTACACCCTTTATAAAAATACATCTATAGGGCTGTAAGAGATTCCATTGTATTTCCCACATTGGGGTAAAGCTACGCTAATACTACACCTTTACACAAACAAGGTTGTATTATTTAGATTATCTGGTAAAGAGAACAATATCCCATTCCCAACAATTGTTTGAGCCCTTCATCTATTCAACCAAGCTGGGTCTGGTTTTAACTGGGAAGCTACAAAGGAGGGATCTACAATTAAATTATTTACTAGAGTGTTTAACTTCCAGTTCTAAAGCCCACTAGAGTGGGGGCAAGTAGCCGCCGAGTGGGCTGGCCTCAAGACCACAGGTCCGAGGTCCCGGGTTCGAGCCCGGGCGGGGTGGTAGATCCCCCAAAACCCGCGGTGGTGAGTAAGCTGGGTGCTCCTGGGGAGGGGGCGGCAAGCTGCTGCCGCAGCACGAGTTGGTGTGTTCTGTCTCTGACGGAGCCACAACGGTAATGAGGTGCAGTACCACCTCCTCACCACCCTCCACCAAAAATTCTCCCTAGAACCAAAGGGCACAGCCCATGGTCAGCGCTAGTTGCGCAGTGGATCAATAAATAAAGTTGATTTCATTTAAAAAAAGAAAATGCTAAATCATTCCCAGAATTGATTAAAAAAGCAAGAGAAGTGGAAGAAAAGCACCAAAAATCTCTTAAAAGTAAAAGATTACCAGGTACTAGTGAAAAGGTGAAAGTGTCTGGAGGTAATTAAACAGAAGACAGGATATGACAAAATGGTAGTATGTCATCAATGTCAAGGGAATCATTATAGATATGAGTGTCCAGGAAGGAAAGAAAGGTTTAACAAAAGACACCAGAGAAGAAAACAAGAAACCAATAAAGCGGATAGGAGAAATAGCGTTAAAGAGCTAAATAATCTGGAAGTTGAATCTGAACCATCAGGTGAGACATTATTAATTAAAGACCATCTGAATTATTTTTGTAAAAAAGAAAAACTCTATCTTAAAGCCATAACTAACAATGAAAAGATGTATGCATTGATAGATACAGGTGCAGATGGAGGCTTCATTAGTGAAAGACTCGCGGTTAGAAATAAATTTCCAATAACCCATACGGGAGAAAGTATTTTTTACAGCTAGCTACAGGAAGAATCACTATTCCGAAAAAATTACAGTAAACATGAAGTATGGAGATAATAATCATAAACGAGAATTTCTGGTAGTACGAGGGTTACAAGAAGATATCGTTTTAGGGAACTCCATACTGGAATCGTTAAAAGTTGATTTATCATACCAAAGAAAGGTAATAATAACATAGAAACACCTTTTATCGAATGTAGAAAAGAAAGAATGGAAGTAAAGGAAGAAACAACAAAAATAATGGAGACTCAATGTTTACGAGAAGTAAAGGATATTGAAGAATGGTATGTTAAGGAAATACAAAAGAAAAGAGGTAACACACACAATCATTCTTAATGAAGAAGTTAATCTATTCCCACAAGAAACTACCCAATAAATCCAAAAAAGAAAGAGTTTGTCTTAAGGGAAATAGAAAGGCTGTTAAACGAAGATAAAATTCAAAAAAGTAAGAGTCTTTGGAATTCCCCTTAGTAATAGTAAAGAAAGGCGAATAGCTATCGGATGTGTGTAGGTTTCAGAAAATTGAACAAGATTACTGTGAAAGAGATAACACCACCTCCATTATTAGAAGAATGTCTAGATTGCCTATCAAAAGCAAAGATATTTAGTAAAATTGATTTGAAGGATGGATATTGCCAGACACCCCTAAATAAAGAATCGAGAAAATACACTGCATTCACAACGAT